CAGGGTTGGGGTGCACCGTAGCTGCCACAGCTTCCATGGTGGATGCGGGCGTAAGCCTCCTCTGTTGCTGCACCCCAGGCTCTAGGGTTGGGCGTGAGGTGCCTCTGAGTGGCGGAGTCAGGTGTACTCTGTCCCTGGGGCTGCAGGCATGAGTGCTCAGCCTCTGCTGCCATGGGGGCACAGCTTATGTGACTGGGAGGGTAGGGGCACTGGAGGTGGGGTGGCTGCTGCAGGAGGATTCCCCCAAAAGCTGCTGAGTTCCTCTTTTTTTCTTTTTCTTTTTGAAAAGTTCCTCCTATTCAAGCCTGCTGCTCCAAACAAGTACCTGGCCTCTCACACTGTCCCATTCTCCAACCAGACGGGACTGACTGGGTCAGGGTCCATCATGGCCCAACTCTTCCCAGCCAATGTCCACAGTCTCAGGGGGTGCATGCTGCCCCTGTGTGTTTGCTACTTCATCCTTATTCCCTCCCTGTGACTTCAAGCATCCAGGTCCTTCCTGGTGCTGCTCAAACCTTGTTTGGCAGGGGGAGGGAGCCATTGACCTGGGTCTCTCCCAAGAATCCTGCAGCAGAGCCAGCAGGGACTGCGGGCCTGGGGCTGCAGAGGCCCTGGTCCCTGCACTAGTCCCAGGGACCTTATTGTCCTGAAGCACTCTCCTTACTGCCTGATTTTTCAATGTCCTCTATACTTTTTGGCCTCCAATCTTCATATATGTTGGGTTACCATTGGCTGTTCACTCTGTTCCCCAGAAGATCAGCTAGGTGTTTCACCCATGCACAGGGGAAAGTGGACTCCGCTCCCACCTATCTCACCACCATCTTCCCCTAAGTCTCTATTTTAGTTTTATTTCAAGTCTCATATTTTAGTCTCCCCTTCTCTTACTCCATTTAGCCTGTTTCCTTCCCTTTCCTATATTCATTTTATTTACTTTTTAATAGTCATTTCCCTAATTTATTTCACATAAGTTTGGATTTTTTGCATTTCATTTTAGTGTATAACAGCTTCATTGAGATATTACTCATATACCATACGATTCAACCATTTATTTTTTAATGTAATTTTTTTTATTGTTGTTGAAGTACAGTTGTGCCCATTTCCCCCCACCACCACTCTCCCCCACCACAGCAACCCCCAATTCCACCTTTAATCCTACCTCCCTTTGACTTTGTCCATGGATCCTTATACATGTTCCTTGATGACCCTTCCCCTTGTCCTGTGTTATCTCCCTCCTCCTTCCATCTGGTTACTGTTATTTTGTTCTTTATTTCATTGTATCTGGTTATATCTTGCTTGTTTGTTTTGTTGATCAGGTTCTACTTATAGGTGAGATCATACGGTATTTGTCTTTCATTACCTGGCTTCTTTCAAACAAGTGCAGACTAATAAAAGATATTATAAAAAAGGGGAAAAGAATGTGAGATGATTAATGAAAAGAAAAATGGTTTTGAGAGGATATATGGAAGATAAATAGTAAGAGTAAGGAAGAGTAAGAAGTATTATGCTTACTTGCAATTTAAATTTAAATTTTTCCTTTCTATGCCTTGTTACTATTCCTAAACAGCAGCCACTGGTCCAGGGGTGAATACCTGAGACACCTCTGTGGATGCAGGAATGGAGCGGAAAGGGCACCTGGACCTAAGTGGGAATACTCAGGCCCCATACCAATGGCCCCTTTTAGGTGGCCCATCAACCAGCAGGATTCCTGGTCCCCCCTGCCCTCTCTTCTTGATGGGGGAGACTCTCAGGCTGGGAGTTTTGTGAAGGGTGATCTACTCTCTGTTGGGTCTCCCTTGGTTCTTCCCACTGGAGAGGCGAGGACTGCGTGTTCCTCCGAGTTCAAGTGCACAAGGGACAGGGGTCTGTGGGGTTTGTGTGTATGGTTGGAGTAGTCTGAGGCCATTTTGATAAATCAAATTCTAGGGTTCAGAATTAGGGGTTCTTTCTTGGCACTCATCTAAGCCATGTGCCTTGATCCAGCTTTTTAGCAACAAGAAAGCTGGTATTTTTGATGTTCATCTGTCTAACCCTTCTATCAGTTGTTTTAAAATTATGTTTTAAAACAGAATACCTGAGGGAAAGTGTATACACAGATTTTGAGATTTTTTCTCTGTTACTTTCTTCCTTCTGGAATTTTCCCCCCTCCATAGTTGCCCTGGTTTCTTCCCTGGCTCTGCTAGTCAGAAAAGAAAAAGAACTTTCTACCAAAGTTTGGGTCACTCACACAAGCCTGTGGCTGCTCTCAGAGTCAAGACATCAGTACACAAGAAACATCTTGTGTTACCTGCATGTCAGGTTCAATTTACCTCTAGTCACCCATGTTTGTTCACTTTCTGGAGTCTCAGGCAGTTATGCTCTGTACTATTGTCCAGAGCTTTCTAGATGTTTTTCTGCAAGCAACAGGTTGGGTAGGAGCTCACATGTATTAATCAGAAGCAGAACTCTCACCCCTACTTGTAAACAAAAAGACACTGTCCCACTCCCAAGTCCCAGCCCTGTTCTGGCTCCTGGAGATCCCAGTGGGTCCAGTACCCTGAGTCCACTGCCCACCAAGCTGGAGAGATGCTGCTGTGCATAGCATCAGAGGTACATCTTTATTTGGAGATACACAAACAAGGCTAGATATACTTGGTACTTCTGTGCTCATGGGAGAACAAACATGCCTTCTTAGAGTGGATTTGTTTATAAACAATATAACAGAGTAAATAAATAACATGCCTGGAGGAAAAAATGAAATTTATTTTAGAATTTCAGTTGCAGTTCATACTTAAAAACCATTATACACATATGAGACATATAAGTTGTGGCTGAAAAGCTTAAGATTGTTTTTTTATCTATATTAAAGAAGGAGGTCGAGTTATGGTTGTTGAATCTGCTTTTTGCTTTAAGAGCTTATTATGCAGACCAAATATTTCAAAGGGATTTGGGTCACAGCCTTCTCTCTACCTCTTTCCTGCTTTAAATTCCCCTGTGCATGTAACAAAGGAAGAAAGAGCAGCCCAACTGTGTAGAGTGGAGAGTTCAGGTCATTTTTTTTAAAAATGTGCAGTATTAATTACATTCTTTGTTATTTTAGCCCAAAGGAATGCTCATTAGCATTTCTTTCTCTTTAAATATAATATTTTCTTTCTTTTATTTCTTTATTTATTGAATTTAAAGAGGGAGAGAGGAAAGCAGCAAGAAAGAGAGTAATCAATTGTTGTTCCATCTATGTATGTAAGCATTGGTTAATTCTGGTATGTGCCCTGATTGGGTATCGAACCTGCAGATAATGGTGTATTGGGACAATGTTCAAAATCAAAACTGAGCTACCATGCAGTTCTAGTGGTGATGAATGCCCTCAGCTTCCATTTGCCTGGGGAAGTCTATTTCTCCTTTAATTCTACAGAACAGCTTTGCTGAGTACTAATCTTCAATAGCGGTTCTTTGCTTTCAATATTTTCAATATATCATTCACTCTCTTGACTTGCAAAGTGTATCCCAAAAATGTTTGTAATCTATGGGAGCTAAGTCACTATTCTCTTGCTTCTTTCAAAACTCTCTCTTTGTCTTTAAATTTTGACAGTTTAGCTATATGGGATGTTAGTGCATCCCTTTTCAAGTTGAATCTATGGGGGCCTTTTGGGCTGAAAGAATATGGCTTTCTGTATCTCTCCCCAAATCTAGAAATTTTCAATCAATATTGCTTTAAATAGACTTTTTATTCCTTTCTTTTTCTTCTAGGGGTACCATGATCATATGTTTTCCTTGATAATGTCCTCCTAAGTCCTATGGGCAGTCTTTACTCTTTATCATTCTCCTTTGCTCCCTCTGACTGGATGATTTCAAATAACCTATCTTCTAGCTCACAGATTCTTTCTTCTGAAACTTAACTGAGCTTTGCTCTTTGAAGCTTTCTATTAAATTCTTCAGTGTAGTCATTGTCTGCTTTCTAGCTCTAAGATGTCTGTTTCTCCTTTTTGAGTAGTTTCTTTTTGTTGCTGAACTCCTAATTTTGTTCATGCATTGTCTTTTCATTTAAGTTTGTTGTCTATGTGTTCTTGTTTTGTTCCTGAATAGCAAACACTTTCTTAAAATTCTGCACAAATTTTGCCTCTAGGTTAATTCCCAGTAAGAACAAATCTATGATCACTGAAAAAAACCCTAACAAAAATAATGACACTTATTATCATTGTCATTACACACCTCACAATTTGGACTGATTGCAACTCTTGCCTAAAACACTTAAATTACATTAACCAGGTTAAGATTAAAAACTCATGTGGCTAAGAGTATTTTCTGTGTCCTAAGTGCACAGTTATTTACTATGAACTATGCAAAAATGGAAAAGTCATTACCATACTTGGGAGACTCTTTACTCATTTGGTGTGGGATTCTTTACTTTAGTGATAATTAGAAAAGTAATCCCCAGTGTTTGTAATCAATAAACATATTACAGATGTCTGAGTACAATCAGTGATATTTCTTTCAAATTGTCACTTGTGTTTCTCTCTGGTGACTCCTGTTAACTATATGGTTCATTTGCATACCAAGCAAACTGAAGTCTGAAATTTCTGAGAAGTTGGATCAATAATATTTGGGAGATGATAAGAAGCACACTATGACTTTAATAAGCACAAATAAGTACAATATGACTTTAGGACACAATTCTCTTCTCACTTTATTTGGAGTAGAGAGGACTCACTGTTTTTAGTGGGCACCTCTTGCCTTTGAAGAGAGGAAAGAACTCTCAGGGGTCTCAAATTTTGGTTGCATGGACTCCTAGGGACTCACTGCTATGCTCTATCTTGAGTTTTTAAAAGTCACACACTTTTAGAAATCTTGCTTGTATGAGCTTGTTGTAAGGTGAAATAAACTGTAAAAGTTCTGTACACCAAAAAATGAGGGCAGAGTGGGTAAAAGGAGGCAGAAATGAAAAGGAAGCTGGAGTGACACTTACCTTATTAAATGCCCTGTGATTCTGAAAGATGAGCCGCATGTCCCTCATAAATCCCTCCACATTAGGGGTACCACTGCTCACGTAGCTTCTTCCCAATTTCATTCAACATCTTAAGATTTTTCATGCACTCAAAAATCTCTGGTGTCTGTGAAAAAATATTATTATTGAAAGAATTTCTGATACAGCACAATGTCTGCCTTCTGTGCATTCCTGAAAAATCCAGCCAAAGTGCAAGGCAATGATAACAGCAGCTTGTGCTCTCACTCCCATGGGTTTCAGATCACAAATCCCACAAGAGCACATACCAAGGTCAGGTCATATCATGGTAACCTATAATCATGGTTTGCTATTTGTTACTCACATAATTATCATGTGACATCTTCTCAGAACAGTCATTGTCTGAATGGCAGTAGATCTCCAAGAGGAGGAACTCACATTTCTGCAAGAGAAGGAACATTTGAATGAAGAGTAACTTAGAATGAATGATCACATCTGTATGCCCAGGCAGAGGAATGGCCACACTAGTTTTCTGGCAGTTTCCTCAAATAGGTCAGGCTCTGAGAAACAGACATGTATTGGTGGAGCAATTTTTTATGCAAACCAGTCCTCGTGAGACTTCAACGTGGTTGAGACCTGATAAGAAATGCAGACAGCTTTTGGTGCTCTCCCTCTCACCTCTTGACTTTTTGACTTCTCACATGTAAGTGGAAAAAAGAAGCTTTGAGGTTCAAATTCAACTCACCAGCTGCTCCTCAGGCCCCATCGGCCTTGCCAGGACCTCAGATTCCTTGTGACACTGCTGACTTCCTGAAGACTTCTTTATCCTGCAGAAGGTGCAACTCCATGGTCTCCTGAGAGGTGTGGGATAAGTGAGCAAAGCAAAGTATCTGGTAACAGCCACCATTCCTATGGCTGCCACAGTTCTCCTTTGGGGAAAGGCTGATGGACACAGACTGAGAATGAAGGGGACACTCCCCAGAGTCTCCAGGTCCCCCCCTTGTAGGGTCCGAGACAATGACCTTCCTTTCATCAAGTATACCAACTGGGGGGACAGTAGGTGCAGAGTGGTGTCAAGGTGAGTGGTGGGCTCTCCTTTCCCCACACTTGAGCTGCTGGGAGCACAAGGAGTCCTGCCTACTGGGCCTGAGTGCTGGAGACTGGACCTTAACCCCTAGGGGACCTAGGATCTCAATCAACCAATTGAGAACATGGAAAAAGTTCATGTTTCTTGCCTTTTCTAAATAAGCACAGAACACAATCAGCTGGCTTTCCCACTTCCATAAACAGGAGTCAACACTAGGAAAGTTCTAGAATGGAGAATAGTAGTATGTGGGCAAAAGACTCAGCTACCAGCCTCAGCCTCCCAGAGGAGAGAGGAGAACATACACCCTCCCTGCTGCCAGCATCTTTCAACAGCTCCTGTGATCACACTGCTGGACCACATACCTCTGTCCCTGCTGTGTCCCCATCAGGACACAAGGAGGAGCCCCCAATGGGGAGTATGCATGGCAGGAGGAAGGGCCCCTAACAGGTGAGAGGGGCCTGCAGTTCACAAACCTCTCAGTCTGCACAGGTGGGAGGTGACAGTCCCCGTGAAATAATCTTGAACAAGTATCACAGCAAAGGAGGTTTTCTCCGTCCCGGCAGATTTTACATACATCTGGCTTTTTCAAGCTAGAAGGCAAAACAGTGTACCCATGGTGAGACCCCAGAAGGCCACTGCTATTAGATTCTGGAATGCACAGCCTTTTGCAAACCTGGGAAAACAATTTTGTACTGAGTTGAGATTTCAGAGGAAAAATTATTTGTCTGCAGTGAAGGAAGGGCCTATGTACCAGATCACACATGTTTTCCCTATGAAACAAGAGACTCTAACATGGGAAGACTAACAACAAAACAAGAATATTTTTATAAAAATATGAATTATTTATTAACTTACAGATAAAACAAGTCCTGAATTAAGTGTTAAATCCATTTGCCGACAACACAGTGACTAAAACAATTCATAGAAAGGTGGTACATTGAGAAATTAATAAGATGGAATAAACTTCTAAGAAAGCATGCCATCCTGTTTTCTTGTTTGTGGGCTCCCCATGCATTGAAGGGCTTGACAGGAGTTCCTGGACCATGGTTTGTGGGCCTGGAGGGCCCCTGGACCTGTGACAGTGCCTCAAGTTTGGAAAGACCCTGGAAAAGATGACTGGGTGATGTCAAGAAGGGTGGAGCTCTTTGGCTCTGGAAGCCGCAGAAAGATGCTGCATGACTCAGCTTGGCATGTGAAATGTGGAGGCTCCATCTATGAATGGTCAGGGAGTATGACAACTGCCTTGTTTTGTAAACAGAATGGTGAGCCCCACCACCCCACAATCAATGAAGCTGGATTTCTTACCAGTTTCAATCTGTGGCCTTAAGCTACATTTAATTTAATTTACAGAAGAGGAAATTTGACAGTATTTGCATCCAAGTCTTGTAGCATAACTCCTACTCATTAAGCCCAAATAAATTTATAGAGAAGATATGAATATACACTGTGTTATATATAAACACATGTATTCGTGACAAAGAACTGACCTGTGACTGAGCCCTTTGTTAATGAAGGAAACACAGTGTAAGGACTAATATTAAAGCTCAATGTCAGGTGCTGCTGTGGCATCTGGTAACACTGAGATGGCCTCCGACAACCTATCTGCATGTGCTCCCTCCCCACTTTGCTCTCCCAGATAAGGTCCCACAGCTAAACAATGCTCCCTAGTCCAGGGACCACCAGTAACCCTGCCCATCCTGGAATGTCAGGTTTCAGTTCTCTGTCAGCCATGGAATCTTTCACACAAGCCAGACACAACCTCCCACAGAAACCAGAGGGCCACCCTACATTCCCCAGCACCTGGTTTTCCAGTTGGTTCCAGAGGGCAACCTTGATGAGGCCTACAGAAGGGGCACTGCCTTCCTTCCTCAGTCATGGAATGTATGAGAATAATAAACACCTGTCCATCCATCTGTCCAGTGACAGATGCCATTACTTGCCATCCCCCAGACTGTCCATTTGACATCCCTCCCTCATCAATGGGATGACAAAGGAGGTGATTAAAACAGGAAGCCAGTCATTGAAGGCACAGGGAAGCCATACAATAGGGAACTCCAACTGTGAAAACTGTGTGAAGCATTCTCTAACACAACCAAAACATAGGCCAGTTCAAAACAATGGGTGGTCCTCAAAATTTTCAGGTATGCAAATATTAAAGAACCTCAGAAAAACACAAAAAATAAGTGGGAGTAAAAGAAAAAATTTTAAAATAAATAAATAAAACATGAAGTCAAAATTTTTAAAAGATATTCAGCATTTACATATGAGTCAGGAACTATTAAGAAGTATACATGCCCTGGTTGCTTTCCTGGGATCTGCCTGGTGTGAGAATCCAGTTTGAGAACCACTTGAGGGTAGTTCTATCCCAGACACAAACATCCTGACCATTCCCCTGGTATTGGAGAAACGCCTACCCTCTTGTGACCATCTGAGGTGACAGAAATGAGAATGGCTTGGGGTCTGGCACACCCACTAATAGGTGCTGGCTGGGAGGGAAGTGGGTCATTGAGGAGCAGGAGGAAACAGGGATGACAGTGTCCAACTTTTTCTACTAATAATATTTCTGGTTATTCTAAACACAAGTGGTATGCCACTGTTACTGTAAAACAGTTGGTAGGAGTCCAGAGAGCCTCCCACATTGGCCAAGATGGTGGGAGTAGGAGGTTCTTACACTGAGCATGCATAAAAGCTTGCCAGATAATTGGATAGAAAAAAGCCCTCTTCAATCTCACCTATAACTGAAACCTAATCAACAAAAGAAACAAGCAAGCAAAATATAACCAGAGACAGTGAAATTAAGAACAGACTGACAATAACCAGAGGGGGAGGCGGGAGGGGAAAATGCGGGGGGAAAGGGTTAGGGTTGTCAGGAACATGTATAGAGGATACATGGACAGAACCAGAGGGGTAGGATCAAGGGTAGGAAGTAGGGATGGCAGTAGTGTCGGGGAGTCATGGGGGGTGGGGAAATGGAGATAAATGTACTTGAAAAACAATAAAAAATGTGGAAAAGAAATAAAAATAAAAATAATTAAATAAAGTGCACAACAATAAAAAAAGAAAAAAAAGCCCTGTCCCCCGCACTTACCCCTAATCTTGTGCTAGGTTGGGGGTGGGACCAGGCAAAGGCAGACCCATGTGTCATAGAAATTTAAATGGTGCAGGGGAAGGTGCTAGACCAAAGAGACATGTCAGTCTAACCTGGGGAAAGAAGGAATTGATTCAGAATGAACCCACTCAACGTGCATGAAAATTTGGGAACTTGATTGGTCATTTTGAGAAAGCACCTGGTCTATCCTACACCCTAGGTAATCTATTCCCAGGCAATAAGCTCTCTCTCTCTCTCTCTTTCTCTGGATGTGCACTCACAGATTGGAGTTTCCTGTTCTCTCTGAGGCCATGTGGCCTTAGCAGCCACATTTCCAAGGGCCTCCATGAGGAAGTCAGTCTCCCTCTTATTCATTCTCTCTCTCTCTCTCTCTCTCTCTCTCTCTCTCTGTCTCTGTCTCTCTCTCTGTCTGTCTCTCTCTCTCTGTCTCTCTCTCTCTCTCTGTCTCTCTCTCTGTCTCTGTCTCTCTCTCTCTCTCTCTCTCTCTCTTTCCCACCTGGTGGTACACTCACCAGTGTGTTTGCACACTCTCCCCTAGAACTGCCTGACCAAGCGGCCCTACTAGCTGCATAACCCATGGCCATGTGGGCTCTACTCACAGGCTACAGGTGGGAGAAGCTGGGAACATTATTAAACTGCTTGGATGGGGTCTAAGACTACTTAGCAGGCACCTGAGGGCTCCAGTGGAATGTACTCGAAAACAGAACAGGTATTCTGGACACTGGCTTTTGCCTTGGCCTTGCTCAGGACAGTTTCTTGCATGGAAGAAAGAGATGGTCAGTGAGAAGGGAGCCTGCCATTTTCCAAGGTCATGTAGCACCTGAAGAAATCCTGTGCCTTTTGCACCACCACCTGCCTCACGAATGTGGCCTTTGTAGAAACATGTAGCTGAACCTCCGTTTTTGTTCAGTTACTCCATCATTCTCCTGGATTTACTCCATTAGCCTCACCATTCTATCTCTTTTCTTTCCAGTCCTTTTCCTCCAACATTTTGAGAGAATCCCCCAGGTTTCCATCTTTGGCTATTTGGTTGGTGATCAAATCACTCTGAAATCCAGTTACATTGCTATGTCCACAGCTTGCAAATGTCCAGCCTGTCTCCTGCCTTCCTGCACATCCCTGTGCTCACCCAGCATCTCCTCTCAGACCCTTAAAGCACACACCCAAACTCATGCAGCCAAAACTTGTCCTAACGCCCACTACATGTTCTTCCTTGGTGCTTCCATTTCATAAAACGTACAACATTGACCACAAGCCTGAGCATCCATCCTGAGTCTATTGTCTTACTTGTGTTCTACATCCTATCTGTCCCTATGCCACACAGTAATTTGTAAGATTCTTTTGATTGCTCCATCATCCATGTAGGGTCCACTTCATGCAGAGGTGCTGAGACCCTAGTGAGTATTTGCACCTTAATACATAAAGAAAAGTGGTTTGTTTCTTAAAGTCTATCCTCTATCTTGGTTGAGTACACAAAGATCAGAACTATGCCTCTTGAAGCAAATGGGAAGAGGAATTTGGATCATAGCTATGTCATCTCTCTCAGTGCAGAAAGGAATAAAAGATGAAAAGTCACTAACTAATAATTATTTTGAATCTTGTTCTTCACTTTTCAGTGAAAATTCTTGTCTTGGGCAAATTTAGATTCAGGTCATTGCATTTTCTTTTAAAAATATTTATGCATGACAAAGATCAAGACCCAAGGACCATGTTGCCATAGCTCCCGTTCAATTTTCTGGTTGAATCTTGAATCACACTCCGAAATGGGATGGAAACTGCTCCAGCATGGAGGACTGGGGACAATTTCCCTCTCCTCACTTTAGAGACTCACAGATTACCATCATCATTCTCCAGGTCATGATAGTCCCCTTCCCAGAAGAACAAGGAAATAAAAACTGTAACCAATACATAATAATGTTTCATCCTTGATCCTTAATCAACTTAAGGCTCGTTTCTCTTTGTCTCTTTGCTTCTTATGCCAGCTGCACATATGATAGTATGTGAAATGCTAGAGTTCTGGTCCCTAATGGAAGAGATTCTGATCAATTGGTCTGCATTGAGGCACAGGCATTGGTACTCTTGTTAAGTCATAGATTGAGTAACTCGTGTAACAGAATTATCTATAAAGTTTTTAAACTGGCTGTCAGGCATGGTGGCCAAGTGGTAAGGAGTCAGTCTCATACAAAGGTTTAAACAATCATAATGTGCAAGTAATGGTTTAGACTGATTGAATCACAATCTCATAGAGAGAGGGATCCAGGCAATGCTACTTTACAAAGGTCTTCAGGTGATTCTAGTGCAGCCTAAGTGGAGATTAGGCCTGAGCCAGTGTGCTTAGTAATGCATGAAAATATTATAAGGCGATGTCTATATGCCTGTAACATCTATCCCAGGAAAGATTATTATTAACATGAGTGAAGGCATTCTTGTTGGAACAGTTGCCTTCTCCTCCCCATGGGCTTGTGGGTACTGGTAGTATGACAGGACCCCCCTGGGTCTCCAACTATCACTCAGGGTCCTGGGACCCACACAAGTGTCCAGAGAAGATATCTACCACCTCCTGAAGCTCTTCTAGGGAATCACACTAAAAAATAAAAGGAATCCAATATCTTTGGTACTGCAATTTTTCTTCCAGAAAGTCACCTTTATCTGGCTTCCATCCAAATCCCAAGAAGGCACCTGTCTGACTTTTCATAGGAAATGGACTACTGTGCACTACACTCACATTGTTTGGGTATGTTCAGTGAAATGTCTTGGCCTCCTTCCCTTGAGGCAGCCTCAGCTTATATCTCCAGCCAAGGCAGAGATGTCATACACAGATGTAATCCACTATGAAGTGACCTGAGAAAGGGCCATGTCACTGCCTGCCACTTGGGCACCCTACAATCCCTGCTTCCAGTAATACTTCCATGGTAGACAATGAAGGTGAAACAATCCTTGAGGTCAGGGATATTACTTCAATCTTCCTTATGGGCATCTAGCATTTTTCATGCACTCAACTGTATGTTGAATGAGGAAATAAATGAGTATCATGCCCCTTGGAAAAAAGGGATTACATGCTATTCTTAAGCAAATGTTAGCATATAATAAATTATTATTTTGGTTGAGTAGATAAGATTATTTGAGAACACAGCTGCTGTCAGCAGAAAGCATCAGTGGCCCTCATCAGGAGATAAAAAACTGTCATGTGGTACCAAGTGCCACCCCATGAACTGGGGTTTCCATCAGCAAGAGAATTTTAAGGGAGGCAAGAGGAACCACCAGGTAGTAATGTGTGTTGAGATTTACCACTTTGAGTCTCCTCATGGAAAATTGTTCCCTGTTGCTGCAAAGTATTGGAACCATGGAAAAGGATAGACCCACTGTTGGAAGTTGTTAGCTCTTTTAGGTAATCCAGATAAAGTAACTTTAGACACATGAAGAATAGTAGAGATGTTGCTTTTCAAAGTACTCACTGAATAAAGTATGTTAAATATATTTCATCTCAGTAAACTCAGTGGATGGAAAGTCCCAAAGACTAGTTCCCAATTTGCAGATCATCTGATAATGTCAAGGCCTGGACCTCACATTCCCAGTGCTAGATGAAGTCCCAGTGGCCAGCTCTGTGTAAGCTAATGTAGAATTCTGTGAATGACCTGGGCAGCCATTTCAACCTGAAGTGTGTGAGAATGGCACCTCTCACCTTCCCCTCCTTCTCAAGTTCTCATTCATACCCAAACTTGAAAATACTATCACTTTGCCCTGAAACTACACTTCATATTATGTAAGTGTTTGTTCAGTCTTCTTCCACAGAGGGAGAAACCACTTTCACAGATAGAAAGGAGGCCTGCTCAGCCCCTGAGGCAGACCCAAAGGGGTGACATCAAAGTAAACAATTTTCCAGGTCAGCCTCTCACCTAAACTACATCCATCTCCCAAGAGTTCCCTCCCCAACTGCACCATCCTTATGAAAAATTTGCCAATAATTTCTGCTTGAAAAAGAATTCTGTATGCCTTTGTATACATTTTATTGAAGGATGAAAGAGTATGTAGGTAATCAGAGAAGAAATATGCTCTTAGTTTCCTCTCTCATGAAGTAGTATATGCTTTCATATCTGTCCCAAAATAGACTGTCTACTATACAGGTTCATCTGGATGATGGGGAGCAAACTTCACTCCATCGAATTTCATTAAATTTAGGAAATAGTAAACTTTACCAAAGAAATCTGGGATTGAGTTGAAGATGACCTTGTGACCTGATTTAAAAAAAGTGTTTTTCTGTATTTCATAATCATGTTAACATTACATTTCACACCCTAACAATACCTTTAACTACAAGAGTCTTTTTTGATGGTTCCTTATTTGAACATCTAGTGGTTTAGCATTCACAGGTAACATTGCATACAAACTAATGTTCAATGCAGCAACTCTGAAAAAATGCAAAATAAATAAATGAAATAAAGGTAGGAGAGACAAAAAGAGGAAACAATGATAATCACTCAATTGAGAAACCATAAAAAATGTGCAGTACATATAAAATGAGTTAGGTATTAAGAACTAGTATAAAAGGATAATCACCTTTTTTTTCTTGCTGTATATTGGTGGTGCTGTAGGTAGCTTTCCCTCCTGAAAAATAAGAAGATCCAAGTATATGCTTAGCCTATGATAATATTCTGTGAGTCTGGTATTAACCTCCTTGTAAAAATTTCTTCTGGACATCATACTATCAGCTCAGTGGCAAAAAAAGTCTCTCTCTCCTCACTTGTACTTATTCTAGAATTCATCCATGGAACCCAGAAAATCATTTTCAGAATGTATTTCCTTGCTCGTCTGTTTTTTCCCTAAGTTTTCAAAGGTTTTCAATCACAATTTCTTTGACACCTTTCCATTCCCATCAGTATCACTCAGACCTGCCTCTTCACACCAGGACTATTCAACTGACATACACATGCCCCCACACCTACATGGTGTCAGACACATGGATAGTTTTGGGCAGACAAAGGACAAACCCTAGGAGTGTCCAAAGAGACAAAGGGAATGCATGGAAGGATAAGAGTAAGACAGTGTGAGAAGGGCCTCAATAGTGAGTTCAGGGGACCCAGGGAAGGGGTGACCATGGCAGGTCAGTCAAGGAATATTCAGACAGGAGTGACATGGGAGCTCAGCCTTGCAGGTTGACTATACCTTTCTTGGGCTAAAAGACAGTGAAGTCATTTCAAATCCCCACGTTGTCTGAGATACTGTTTTAAATATGCCATTTCACACGTCAGGAGACCTCCCTCATTCTGTGCATTATGATATGAATTTAAACTTTCTAGCCTGACATTAAATTACACTGCATACAACCCCAGTTTGATGGATTTGGTCAAAGCATACACAATCCATCTACCTCAACCCACAGAACTAAGTTGATCATGGTTATGGTTTCCATGCCATTCTTTCCCCAAAGTGCCTTCTGCCCACTTGTTTGAATGCAGACAGTCCTCTTTACTTCAGTGCCTAAAATTGTCTGCAAGCACCAGAGTCAGCATGACCTTTCCCTCCTCGAGCTCCTGAACCTACCTGGAAAGAGCCCCTTTGACAACTGATATGCTGCCTTGTACTGAGGTGTGAGGGTCAGGCAACTCTCCCCTAGGAAAGTGTAAAGTCAGAGGCCTCAGGGCTCTACAGATAGCTCAACCCATGTATTGGGTAGTCAATAGGTGACCTTATGTTGGACCACAACAAGGGAGGTTACACCTCCTGCCCATCACTCAAATACCTCCATCAGCCGTTTTAGGGTTTTCCCACCACAGTGCGCAGTGTTCTTCCAATTTCTTGAACGTTTATAGTTCCCTGCAGCTTCAAATTCCTGGGGGGTGAACCAGTTTCCATCCTCTGTCTTTATGCACTTCACCGTGGATCCTGTAAGACCGGGGACAAGTTGATCCTGGCACCTCTTTGTCCTCAGAGCTCAGACACTGGCCTCCCACCACCCTGGATCTGAAGTCACCCAATTTGGGCTGAGGATCAATATTAGGAGAGTCTGACCTTCCCTTTTATACACCAGAATTCCCAAACCCCATCTATATATCCCCTTTAAGATTTCCTGATTTGTGCACACATATCTTTGACCTTTATGAAACAACAACAACAAAAAGTGATCATTAGCATCTGTTAAACATTATACAAGTATTCTAAAGTTACCTACAAGGAGAAGAATGTGACTTTGCATAACAAGACAATTTCAATTTGCTATTGAATTCTGGAGACAGAGAACAGGCCAGACTCTCTGGTGGCCGTGGGGCAATGTGCAGGCAGAACCTCACCATGGACCAAGACCTCAGGTGGGAGCCCTGCTGCTCAGAATGGCACCCGGGCAACACCTGTGCCCTCCATTACAGCAGCTTCCCCATCTAAGTTTAAAGGCATTACTGAGCAGTGATTTTCCATCCCTAAAATCACAGGTAGCCAACAGTAAGTAATTGGGAAATAGTACTCAGTGGAAAACTTAAGTTATATATAATAGACAGTCATGATAACATTAGTCATTAGAAAAAGGAAAGTCAGATCCACAATGAGATACTACATTATAAGCACTGGGATGGCCATAATGAAAGACAGACAATAATAAGTGTTGGTGAGAATGTAGAGAAATTGGAGCCCCAAGACTCTGCCAGTGGGAATATAACCTGGTGCAATGCTGTGCACCAGTTTAGCATTTCTTCAGTAAGTTCAACACTGAGTACATACTCAAAAGAATTTTGAAGAATATGCTCTCAAAAATGCTTTACATGAATGTTCAAAACAACACCTTTCATATAGCCAAAGAGTGGAAAAACTCCAACAAATGGATAAATAAACAAAATATGGCACATCCAGACCATGCAATATTATGTTATTTGGCATCATGAAGGAAGAAATATAATGCATGCTACTACATGGGTGAACCATGAGAACATTATGCTGTGTGAAAGAACCAGTCACAGAAAGGCACATGTTATATGAGCTAATTGACAAGAAATGCTTAGATAAACCAGTTTATAGGTCAGAAAATAAATTAGTGGTTGCTTAGGTTTGGGCAGTGGGGTGGGGTGGAAGTTGGCATTGACTACTGAGAGGCATTAGTTTTCCTTTAGGACGGACAAAATGTTCTAAAATAAGATTGTGATGGTGGTTGCATAATCTTTTGAACATATAGAAGATAGAAGCAAAGAAAACCTCAACAATGAATTCTATACCCTAAGTGGGGAACTGTATTATATGTGAGTTATATCTCACCAAAGCTGTTTAAAGAAATAGTTATGATACAGACAATTATATTAGTTAGTTTTCACTATCCATTTTATGAGAAATCTGATATGAAACTCATCATAGTAGCCAATTATTGAAAAGCTTTACAGTAGTAAAATCACAAAACACTTTATATTCATTATGTAAACTAACTCTCAAAGTCACACAAGGAGGCAGGACATTATTATCCATTTCTTAGATGGGAAGTTTCAGGCTCAGGAAGGTCCCAGTCTTCACACTGTCACTCTCAGCAGAGCTGAGGCTGGGATGCAGGTTTTCTGACTCTAAACTCTGTGGTCTCCTCACTACATCTAACACCCTGTCCTGGTGGTGATTATCCAGATGGGATACAGGATGTGAATTTGGAGTCTGGGGGCCTCTTCCCTGTTATATCTGATTCAAAGTAAAAAATGCAGTATTTTGAACCCTGAGACTGACATTCCTGAACTTTTCTTTGGTTCTTTGGGCATCCTCATGGGCACTTGCACGTGGGGGTGAGCACTTGCTATGCAGCACTGCTTACAGTATAAAAATATCATCTTAGGGATCCCTTCCTTCTTTCAAGCCACAGTGGGCCTTCAATTTGACTGGAAATTCACATGGGTAATTCCATTAATTCTTGTGATTCCTTTATAAAAGTATTTCAAATTAAAGTACACCATTAAACCCACCTTCTTCCAACTTGTTCTTATATAACATGCCTTTCATCTCTCCACAGGTCACAGGAAGTATTTCAGAGTGAAAATCTACATATTCTTCTTTGTGGTTTTTTGACCCTGAAAGAGAAGTTTTTCGTTCTGTTTCATTTCACAGTTGCACATGTAAAACTTTCTTCTGTGTTGAGGTCATTTCTACAAAGTCATAAGGGTACTTAGAAAACTTTATTCCACAAATCTCCAGAGTTTCAGAGTCTTTCAGTGGTATTTTTGATACATAACCACAGAATGTCTACCTTTATTACACCTCTCAAACCCCTCCCCCCAAAATCAGAATGCATTAGCCGGGACACCAGGCATCAGTACAACTGTCTTAGCTCCCCACGTAGTCATAGCTCCCTTTTTCTTAAGTGTTGGTGACGCATGCAGCTGCTGCCCTGGCAAAGATATTTCACTTTCATTGGGCTCCTCTGCATTACCGTGGCTCTCCACATTCTGCACTGCATTCTCCCTCTTCCTTTACATGTAGCTTTATGGATTTGTGTTTGAGTTTGTTATTGTAGTAAATATTAGCTCTGCTTCTTTCCCAAGGTGGTCTTATAAATCTGGCATTGAGAAGGAGGCTGTGTCACTTGGCTGCTTCCCAGAATGACTTTGTGAAAGAGAGCCCTCCTCTCCCCTTCTAAATTCTATTGTGTTCCATATTTAAAACCTCTTTGGGTTTATTTGTCACAGCCATTAGCCTAATTAACACAACAGTAAAATACAAACTATCTTAATTTATTGCAAATTTGCATTTTACTATAAAGGATAGAGGAAAAAAAATTGGAAGTGATCTTTTGTAGAAAACACTGTTCATTTGTAACCTTAAACATTTCTTTTTCTTTTTAAAATTTTTATTGGTGTTTGAGTACAATTGTTTCCATTTTCCCTCCAAGACTACATCCTACCCACCATGTGTCCATGTGTCCTTCATTCGTGTTCCGGAAAACCCCTCCTCCTCCCCCGCTCCAATATCCCTCTCACCTCTCCTCTGGCTATTGTCAGTTTGTTCTTAATTTCAGTCTCTGGTTATATTTTGCTTGCTTGTTTGTTTTGTTGATTAGGTTCTACTTATACGTGAGATCATATGATATTTGTCTTTCATAGCCCGGTTAAATGAAATAAACCATGAACATTTCTTATTTGCTTTTACCTCTTTTGCAATGTATGTTTCCAGATGTAAGTGACTTTATTAAGTCCATATACTCCATAAAGTAAAATGGAGATAACAGTTATTTGTTTGCAACAGTCTTACAAATTCTATGACAACCCACACAGCAGATAGGGTTGTCATCTCAATGACAACTGTTGTGATCATCTCAATGCTGAGATGAGCATTTTCTTTCTTTCATGCAACTGAACCCAGTTCTGGTGCTCAGGATCACAATGCTGGGATCCTGTCCTGCTCTCCCATTTGCTCTTCATGTGAATTTGTAAATGACCTCCAATCATTATTAACCAGTGTCCTCATCTATAATGCTCAGATAACCTATTTCCCTGTTAAGGTTTTTATGAAAACAAAATGAGCCTTTATTTACAAAAGCCCTATGAAAATCAAAATGAAAACCAATAGTTTAAGTATTATTTGGACTTAAGATGTTGGTCTGAGCCAGTTTTTCCATTAATAATTAAATATCAGCACCAGTGACTCTTTGAGGATATTTTAAGCTTGGTACTAATGATAATATTGTCCACAAATACAGAAATACTGTGCTCCTATTCTCTGTGAAATATAAAGCATGTTTGTAGAGACTAAGTATATTATTAGCAATAGTAGCTCCTTAGCATTAATAGATATGACAGTGTATAGTAAGACTACCATTTACTAGTATAGTGTATTATTACTACATTTTTAATATATCAACTGATTGGGCTCATCTAATTAAATCACAGTTTATAATGCCTCCTGCTTACTCCTATTTTCCAATAGAGTCAAAGAAGTTCCATGCTCACAATGGTGTCCCAGAAGTAATCAAATTAATGTATATGGAGAATGTCAGAGTAAAATTCATTAAGAATACAGAGCTCTGGATTTAGACTCTGGATTTTTGTTGTCCAGAAATACAATCTTAGTCTTCCCATCTGGTGCAGTTCAGAATCATGAACTAGAGGCTTCTTGGGTTTCTCTTCCTCTCAATGTTATCGATCACTGCACAAAAGAATAGGACACTTCAGGTGTCTCAGTGTGTGACCAAAAAACCAATTCAGTAGGAAATTCCCTAATAGAAAGTTGGAAACATCTTGCTTGCAAACCCATGTATATCATGGTCTGCACATCTGCCCTCTAAATCACCTGACTTTTAGGTTAGTGATGCTCCATTTACTGTCCCCAGAGCACAGACCAGTCACCAACAAGGGGCTTCCCTGCTCGATTTGAGTCTTACCATCTTACACTTGTCTCCCTTCTACCTCTTACCCCTTCTATTGTCATCTCAGTATGTCAACAGCTCTTAACTCCGTTCAGGTTGCTGCAGCCCAAGCCTTGAGCTCCAACTTCCTTAGGAGGTTTTCTTTTCAGTGCTGAGGTGGAGGCCTGGGGGAGGGGGGACTCATCTCCATCCTCAGATTCTATGGAGGCTTCACTGATGATCACCACACAGAGGAGCAAACCTTTTAGTGTTTCAGGGTGGCACCAAGGAGCCCACAGATAGGAAACCCCTTAAAGAGGGCACTAGGAGGGCCTAGAAGCTACTGAGATTACTGTGGTCTGGGCCTAAATGTGTGTGGCCTGCAGGTTGCTCCAGGTCCTACACAGGAGGTGGTGAGATGTGGGCACAGAGGGCAGCTGTGCTCATCCTGCAGCTCTTCTTACCCCACAGTCACCCTGTCTCCTACCTTTATTCTTACTCTACCTCTTAGCCCCTCCCCCATTTTACTTCTTTCCTCCACTCTCTATTACTTCCAACTTCATTCTACCGCTTTTACTTTTTTATTCAAATATATCTAAATATCTATTAAATGACACAGATGGATCAGAAAGAAGTATACACAAAGCCTAATTTCAAAAATGGAATCAAATTATGTATTTTTAAATATTATTTGTTATTTTTATTGAACTTATTAGGGGGATATTGTTTCACAAATCTATACCAGTTTCAAGTCTACACATCAATAAGACATCATCTGCACACTGCATCGTGTGCCCATCACTCCAAGCAAAGTCTTGTTCTTCACTTTCTTTTTGGTTCACCCCAATTTTGCTAATTGTGCTTGTTTCTGGTGAAGGAGAAAGTATCTCCTTATATCTCTCCTTGTCTTCATGTTTAGTTTTTTTTTCATCCCCTTTCATGAATATCTTGGCTCTCTGAATTATTTCCCTTTTCTTTAACTCTTATCCCAATACCCTCCTCTCTCTAAAATCATAAATATACTCTCTGACATCAATACATAAAATTACCTTTTCTGTTGTAGATATTTTTCCAATTACTGGGGACAATTTTTTGCTGAACTTGCTGCATAAGGCACTGGTGCCCTCTCCCTCCTACCTCTAACCCAGGCCAGCAGGACTGGTTCCATGGGCCCTATGACGTGTCCCAGATACCTGCCTGGTACTGAGATGCACATCACACATTATTTCAGTCAGCCTTGCCTATTATGTCAGATGCTTGGTTATAGCCAGTCCTTGCTTGGGTTTCCCATTCACCTCCTGAAGTAAAAAAAATGACTTTTCCTTCTTTATAACCACTGGATCTGCACAGCAAGAATTGATTTGGTTTCCATGGTGGGGTAGCTCTGCTCTGGACCAAATTACAATTAATGAAGAATTTCATTTGTTTCTCCAAAGGGAGTGAGGATCTTTACTGCAGTTAAACCCTTCTCCCTGGAATCCCACTACAGGAAAAACACCCCAACCCTCACCTTTCCTGTTGGTCAACTCTGTCTTTCTTTTAACTCTGTTTTTTTTTACTTTTGTTTCTACTTTTCAAAGGATAGGCCTATTTTTATCTAAGAGGGCTTCTGGGGCATTTTCATCACTATGGACACCTTACCTTTCAATGGTATTAAGAACAGCCCTTTGTAGCCCTGGCTGGTGTAGCTCAGTGGGTTGAGTGCAGGCTGCGAACCAAAGTGTCGCAGGTTTGATTCCCAGTCAGGGTACATGCCTGGGTTGCAGGCCATGACCCCCAGCAACCACACATTGATGTTTCTCTCTCTCTCTTTCTCCCTCTCTTCCCTCTCTAAAAATAAATAAATAAAATCTTAAAAAAAAAAAAAGACCAGCCCTTTGTGCCTTCTATGTGGTGACTGTCTCCTCCAATCAGATAATGCCTGGTCCTCTCTCTTGCTACCTGGTCCATTCTCTATCAGTTTTTCACTCATTGTCCTTGACATATTCTTGACACAGTTCTTTTGGTGTTTCCCCGTTTTTTGTACTTATTGATATTTATTTCTCTGTGTGTTTTTCTATTCATACTTATTTCTCTACATTTATTATATCACTATGTGCCAGGGCCCAGCAGGGTCCAGGGTGAAGCAAAGTAGTTGTCTACAGCACAGGAGGTACTGAGAGTGAGATCCTCTTCACAAGCCTTTGGGTTCCTGCCTCACCCCTAGACCTGACCTTGCTGTGCCCTATGTGAACCTTCAGTTTATCCATTCTCTACAATGTTTCTTACTTTCTCCTACTGTATTTCTTAATTGTTTTTGTGACCTGTGAATGCCCTTTCTATAGCAATTTTGTCTTTATGTTTTCTCCATCTTAAGCATTCTTATCATTACTGAAGTTCTACTCTTGTGACTGTATCCACCACACTGAGTCCCTCCACCTGCCCGTTCCCCTCCACACTCATCCAACCCAGTCACTCAGTCTTACCTGCTGGCTCAGACTGCTGGGCACATTGTTCATTTGCTTGTTGGCTTTCTAGGGCATCGTTGTTGCCAGTGGTTGTATCAACCATCACACCTATATCTTCTGTTTCAGAGAGTTGCTTTGAAAGTCCATTATCAGATGTGGCTGTACCTAGACCACATTTTGATTCATAGATATTTAATTTGCTTCCTGCATCAATCAGGGTCCAGCAGAAAAATACAATAAGAAGCTGTCTAAACTTTAGAGCAGAGGGAATTTAGTCCAGATGATTAGTTATACAGCTGATGGAAGAGCCGAGAAGCCCAAATGGAAGAATGTGGCAGCTTTCAAAATGCTCAAGAGCAAGGTATGTGAAGGACTAAGGGTGAGGTCTGTACCAAGGTCATATCCCAAGGTCACTGGGTAGGGACAAGCTGGACTATGGCTGGCCTGCTTGGTGGGAAGTGGTGTCATGGGGAAGATGCAGCTACTGCCAGAGTTGAGGCCCAAGAAAGTGACAACAAGATTTCCTAGCTTCTCCCTTGCTCCCACTCTCTAGTCTCTAGCTGGTGTCTACTAGGTTAGGAACTCAGCAGGATGCAGTACATGGGAGCTGGCAAGCAAGTCTGCAGGGGTCTGTGGCCAGAGTTAAAGGGCAGAGCAGAACAGAAAAAGATAAGGAATGAATCTCTGAGTAAACCACCCAGGACCTGCACACATTTTTCTCCACGTTGAACTTCCTCTGCTTGATATCAATATTGTCAACCCATCCAACTCTATTCCTACTAACCCCAATAGTGTATGGATAGATAAACATTATTTTCATTTCAGCTTGACTTTTTTCACTTATGCTATTTTTTCTAAGCAAAGTAACTTATGTAAAGTATGATTTACAAAATCAATTCCTATAATTTTAATATAGATCTTGGACCCTGGTGAATTCTTATGCAATATCCACAATTCCTTGGAGTCACCTCTTGGAAGAAGGGGCATGAGACAAAGCCTCTTCCACTCCTGTGCTTGTCACAGTCAACCATCCTAGATGGGTCAGACTCTTGGACACATTTATTGGTGGTTTGTTTGCAATATTTGGGTTATAATGTCATTGATTCCTCCCCACCACACCCCCCTACACACACACACACAGTGAAACCCTTTTCTGCCCATTACTCATCACTGTTCCTTCCTCTCACCTCTCTGTTCCCACCAGCTTATTGGTAGATGAAGTACTAAGAATACAGATTGATGGATGTTGGATGTTTCATATCCTTAAATATTAACTTTTTGCGTAAATGTGATTTGCAAAAAGTATCATGGTGTTCTCAAAAATCATTCTGAAAAGTTTTTTTAAATAAAAATGTATGAGTAATTTAGAACATCCTTTCTTCAATAACACATCCCCGTGGAGGCTACATAATATGATTTCCAGGGTGTTTTAGAGCAGCTCCAGGCCTGTAGCCCTGGAGATGCTGGGAGAGGGTTTGCACAGGAAGCACATGGTGTTAATGGTCCTGTTTGAGGAACCCAAAAGGTGAGAGCCCCTGGCCCAGGAGGAACAAAATCATCACCCCTGTCCCATTTCTCTCACTACAGTGCTGGCCACTGCTGGATATGACATCAAAGCAAGGCTGCAGCCAGTGTTAAGCAAGACAGAGGCAGAAGACTGTGAAACCAAGTGCATGGGCAATAAGTCCAGGCTCAGGATGGCAGGAGGTGGCACCATGTGCTTTTAAGGAATGTGGTAGTACTGGGCCTCCCAGCAACCAGGATAGTGAAGACTCTTTTATCTAAATCTTTGGGGAAACTTCAGCTGCAAAGAATGGCTATTCTGGGCAATCAGCACTGAAAAGAATCTGCCCTCCACCCCTGCCCCCAACAGCACATTCCAGAATAAGACAAGAACAGCAAATGATCATAAAACAGTTACTAGAAACACACCATTGTGATTCAAGGGACATGGGCCACTCCAGAGCAGGCTTAGATATGACTTTTCACCAGGTCCTAGGGGAATAAAGTAGAAATTTATTTCAGAAATTGAAATATAGGTTGTGCTGGTCTCCTCTAGACCCACATAAATCTTCACAAGGTTTGATGATCCCCTCCTCCAGATATCAATACAGATCCCATCTGGACCTGGGGGTTCCCATACAACATCTGCTACACTGCTGGCCTCAGCCAGGCCATCTTACTGAGATTCTTCACAATCCACTCAGTAAGTGCAGATGGCCTTTCATATCATTCAAAGTCATCATGAACTTTTCTTTTAGGTCTGCCTTTGACTGGTGGCCTTACCTTGCTTCCTACGAAGACCTGTCTCATCCCCATATCCATTCATACCACACCCTCCCTCTGCATGTCTGTTTCTCTGCCTTGCTGGTCTTTGCATGAAATTCAGTATCTGATTCTCCTGCACTTCTACTAGCTCTTGGTAGGCTTCTTTCTGTATATTTATGTCTGCATATATTTCCCTGTTTTTGTCTCAGGATTCTGTTTTTTCCATGAGACTATCCGGTGTGCACAGGGTTAGGAACACAGGCTCTAGATTCAGAACATCTGAGTTCATCTTGCATGTTTGATCCCAAGCCAACGACATATATGGACTATCTAAATTTCAGTCTCCTTTTCTGCGAATAGGCAAATAGTGATATTTCCACCCCAAGGCAGCTGAAAGCACTAAACACACAACTGCCTGAGGAAATATTCAATAAGTGAACTCTTAATAATATGGTTGTTTTATTGTGTCATTCACCCATCTTGTATTTCATTTCCCTTTCTTCTCTCTCTCTCAAAGTACAACCATCCCCTCCTCCAAATCTTACCACTTCCCTGCTCCTCTCCCCATATGTTGCCCATCTCCCTGAATATTCCTGCTTTCAAACACCACACCCCATATTTCAATCAGTTCCACCTTCTGTCATCACCAGAAATCTCCTGTGTGGTGTTGACTCTGTGCCCACAGTTCTTAGCCCTTTACAGCTTCACATTGATCTTTTCCTACAGGGTCTTTCTAAATCACAATTACCTCCAGATCAGCATTCTTATTAAATCTGGTCTCCTGACTCATTGTGTTCCTGTTCCTTTGTCTTGGTTATGGGGCTCATGGTCTCTTGTCATAGCTACTCATCCAGGATTGACCTCTGGGGTGATGCTCATACATATATCTCTCACTGCCTTCTCCAGGCTCCTCAGCACTTCTCTCTCAATTCCCAAACTCTACTCTGGCCTCAGTGCCCACCTCTTGACGTGAATCCTGGCCTGCAGGATCTGTGTATGTTGTGGCTGCTCCTGAACAAACATACAGACTACAGAAATCCTGTGGAAAAAAAAGGAACAGCACAGCCACTCTCTAAGTGAGAGAGAGGGCCCCAACCCCTGCCTGGACAGGCTTTTATTGTTTGTCTGGGTACATTGCATGGAGGGTAGTCCTCATTTACTATGCATAGGTTCGTATTAGGTGGTTACCTTTTACAGACAACAAAGGAGAGGATGTTGCTAATCACATCAGAGAAGAAGGATATTTGCAAATATAAAAGGGAAAGTGGTTGGACTGGTAACACTTCGTACTTGGGAGGTTTAGCTCAGATTTTAGGAAGCTGCAGTAAGCCCTTGCTGCCTCAATTCAGGGTGAGGGAGTTTTAGCAAAAGCAAGCCTCATAGTGACCTAGGTACAATGCAGGCCTGATTCCCCACAGGAAAACCCCTCTGCGGGTGTGGTCCTGCCTGCTGACTCACTCCCCACTGGTTTGTCATGTGAGTGCTGAGCTACATTTCCACACTATGTGAAACGGTTCCCTACAACTTCTCTTTCTCCTTTCCTCTTAGCAAATGAGAATCAGTTTTTATCTGGTTGCAATCACCTTGTTCAAGGCTTAGTTGGATATCAGATCTCCCCTTGTTTTCTTCTGCATCACTTTCCAGGAAATTGTTTATGTTTGATATCTCTGAGAGAAGGCAAGAGAAGAAGACAGTTAGAGATCTCCATCCAGAATAGTGGTGTCACCTCAAATTACACGTTTAAGAATTTACACCTGTGTTGTAGAGAATGTGATAATAAAACCTTTTCCCCTTCTTTAAAAGCAAGTTTGACTTTGGGTTAATTTTCTTGCTCATTACTCTGGAAGCCTGATGAAGGTGGCCTCCCTCTGTGTTACTAGGCCAACACTGGGTTTAGGGTGAAAAATGAGCAGTGACAGTATGTAGGTAAATTGCATGTGGCTTGGAAAGAAGTAGATATGAACTCTAAGCCATTTTTGGTCTTCCTCCAATGTGGTAACTTTGTAAGTTGCCTCTTTCCTTAAGGGGTCTCTGAAAGTTATGATTATAGAGTTGTCGCACAAGATATCGACTCCCATGTTCACAGTGTGGCTAGAACATGGTGGATCCTACATTCATAGCTAAGTTGTCATTTGAGGCAGGTAGTACTTGACTTGGTGGACTGCTTTGTGGACCGCTGTTAGGGGTCCCACAGAAGAACAACAACTGATGCCATGCTTTAGGGATATTATGTTTATTGTCATTTGTCCTTCTAAATAAAGCTGATGCCACTGTGTTTCTGCATGTCCTGTGTGTCTAAATGCCTAGTTAAGCAGACTTTCTGGTGGGTGTTGTACTATAGCCATTACTTCATAAGCTATGGGAGACTCATGACATATCTGTTTTCTTAACTTCTATAGCTCCACTGCCTAGCACAGTGTTTGGCACATGGCAGGAACTCAATATATACTTGTGGGGAAAAATTGGCCCTGGACCTCAAAAAGTCAGTAATAAACCTAATTACCATTTTTGAAGATTTTGTAAGTGTAATATAAATCAGGATAGAACTTCATGATGGTCTTGCTGAACAAAGAATCCAGAAGGGACAGGTCAAATGTCTTCTCCAGGCCACAGAGAATACTGTATACGACTTGTTGTGTGGAAATCTCATGTGTAAGTTTTTCTTGAGACTCCTTAAAAAATAGTGAATGGGGAAAACATAAATACAGAAGTAGCCCTAGAAAGCGATTTAATTTTTCATGTATTACAATTTCCCTGGATAGTATCTACTGATGTAAAATTCTAGAATTTGTTTATATTTGTATTGATAATAAGTGGAACAGCTAAATTTCTCCTCCTTGAATATACCGATTTCTAAATTTGATCTCCTCACCCTCATTTACAGTAGATGGAAGAAGGAATAATTTTGAAGAACAAAATTAGGTTCAGGTTAAGTGATGTGTAACACTTCCAGAGCTTGGTCAAATGTTTTAGGAATGGGCAGAGCAGGTGATGAGCTGCTGTTCCATTGACTGGAAAACCCTAGTCCCTACTGAAGAATGACTTGGCCTGGTAGGGCTCAAGGAAGCCAGATGGTGCTTTTCCCCTTGCTGTGAACTTTGTCATAACATAAGACTTTCACAGGGAGAGAGAGGACTTAGATCTCTATATCTCTACCTACATCTTTTACTAAAATTAATCTAAATTCCAAGACTTGAGAAATACCAACAGAAAGAAAAAATAGGGAAGGGAACTGAAAATTTTGGAGAAACAGTAACAAGCATTTACTTTCAAATTTATCCTAACAAGGCATTTATTCTCTGGGGACTTTAATGTTCTCAGATCTAAATATTTAAATTGATATTCATTGAAATGAAATGTTGTGACAATTATTATTTCATTAAATGAAATCATTAAGCTTATTCCTCCATTCATTAAAAGTACTGGTTTTTTTTTCCTAATCTATGCTATATTGTATACATAAATCCTACAAGGCATTGTTCATCTGTGGATCCAACCTGTCTCCAGGGCTATTCACCAAACTCTGCGTGGCACCATAGGGCACTGTTCCTTCAGTTAGGAGTAGGATTGTTTCCAGTAATGTCTGTTTCTCTTCTCCCTTCTGACCTTGTAGGAATACTTACAACAGTACATGAGAAGGTCCCCATTTATAGAAGAATCATCAATTGTCTGGTTGTTCTCTCTGTCATTTGACTCCAAAATATCAAAGAAATACTTAGTTTAGCACTGTGTACCAGACTGTGACAAAGTAAACCTCACTTACATTATATTTTTTATTGGTGATGAATCCACGGTCCCTGAGAATTTCAAGGAAAGGAAATGGTTCTTTTATTGCATTTGAAATTTGCACCTTATGCCTTTTGAAGAATATGCCTGCATTTAGTTTAACAATGTCCTGGGCTTCTGCAGAAGTCCTAGAGAGAAACAATACCATGATAAAATGGTCAGCAAGATTTTGAAATGTTATAACATTTTATATATGAAAGAGAGGGTGTGAAGAACCAATCTATATGAAATAAGTGGTCATGAGTACAAATTAGAACAAATAGAATTGAGGCAACAGACAAAGCTATAATAAAGTGAAGCATGGTGGATTAGAAAAACATATGGTACATTCACACAATGGAATACTATGCAGCAGAAAGAAAGAAGGAGCTCCTACCCTTCACAACAGCATAGATGGATCTGGACAACATTATTCTAAGTGAAATAAGCCAGGAGGTGAAAGAAAAACACCATACGATCTTACCTGTAAGCATAACCAATTCAACAAAATGAACAAGGAAGAAAAATATAACCAGAAACATTGAAATAAAGAACAAACTGGCAGCATTTCAAAGAACAAACTGACAGTAACCAGAAGGGTCGGGAAAGGGGGATAATGGGGGGAAATGGAAAGGACCATCAAGGAACATATATAAAGGACACATGGACAAAGCCAAAGAGGGTCGGATTGAAGATGGGAGGCAGGGATGAGTAGGGCGGGGATGAATGGACTGGGGAAAATGGAGGCAACTGTACTTGAACAACAATTAAAGAGAGAGAGAGTGAGAGAAGAAAGACATATATTGTATTGAAAAGTTCTAGTCTATCATAAACAAAACGATCGTAAAGTTATTTTGTCTTTTGTGTTTGTTTTATTCTGTTGTTTTAAAATAATATTTTATTGATTATGCTATTACAATTGTCCTAATTTTCCCCATTGCTCCCTTCCAGCTAGCACTCCCCAAGCCCTCAGGAAATCCCCCCACCATTGCTCGTTTCAATGGGTCATGCATATAAATGCTTTGGCTCCTAAGTTTCACCCATAAGTAAGTTTTTCAAGTATGATTGAGGATACAGCCAAAGTCAACCAGCAAAATGATCTCTGTGAATAAGTGTGGAGAGGAAAACATAACAAGTTTGCAAAAGAAGCCTGGTAATCACCACCTTAACCAAGTGATCAAGGTGAACAACCCTGGTGATAAGTCAGGCTGACATCTCCCCTGACAGAAGGGATGAGAAGGGCACTTCTCCTCAGGGAATTCTTTCCTGAAACCCATAACACCAGACTGAAAAGAATCAAGATTAACCAAAACTGAGGAATACTTAACAAAATGCCTGACTAGTACTTTCCAAACCCCAGGGTCATGAAAAACAAGGAGAAACTGAGGAACTGTCACAGACCATAGAATAGGTGACAAGATGACTGAAGGCAACGTGGTATCCTGGAGTCAATCCTGGAACTCAACAAGGACTTTAATGGAAGAACCATTAAAATTTAAAAAGTCTGCAGTTTCAGTGACACGGATGTAGCAATGTGGGTTTTTCTGTTTTGATAAGTGTATCACAGCAGTGTAAGAGCATAATATCACAAGATGTGAAACTAGGTGTGAAGTGTACAGAAATTTCTAGAGTATCTTTACTTTTCTATAAAATTCTTCCCCCCCAAAATTTATTTAAATAATCTTTGGAAGTGAAAACAGCAGAAAGTGTAGAAAACAGGGCCAGAAACACCTCATACACTAAAAACATTAGATATACTTTTTTAAAAATCTGTGCAAGTTTCCATATTAAGAAAGGAAACGTACAGCTAACATCAACCATAATGGGGTAATGAGAAAAGCTTTCTCTTTGGACCTGGGCTCAATTTGCAGATGATTACTAGCATTACTTGTGCTCACCATAATCTTGGAAGTCCTGGCCAACACAATAAGCAAAGAAAATAAAATAAGTGTAAAAATTATAAAGAAACAAAATTGTCACTAGGTATACATTATATAAGTTCATATATATCACCATATAAGTTACTAAATTAGAAAGTGGCAAAAATTAATTTATTTTTATATCTTAGTAGCAGGCAGCTAGAAAGCTGATGTGAAATTATGCAGATTTAAGAAAAAAGGTATGTACAAATAAATGTAGCAGAATGAGTATAAAACATCTAGAGTCAAAGCTATAAATTTTATTAGAAAATATTTTAAATATATTTTATTGATTATACTATTACAGTTGTACCATTCCCCCCCCCCTTTATTCCCTTCTGCCTTCTACCCCTCCTCCAACATGCTTTCCCCCCCTCCATTTAGTTCCTGCCCATGGGTCATACATATAACTTCTTTGGCTTCTACATTTCCTATACTATTCTTAACCTTCCACTGTCTACTTTGTACCTACCAATTATGCTTCTTATTCTCTGTACCTTTTCCCACATTCTCCCTCCTCCCCCCTCCCTGTTTATAACCCTCCATGTTATTTCCATTTATATGATTCTGTTCCTCTTCTAGTTGTTTACTTAGTTTGTGTTTGTTTTTTAAGGTTCGGTTGTTGATAGTTGTGAGTTTGCTGTCATTTTACAGCTCATAGTTTTGGATCTTCTTTTATTCAGATAAGTCCCTTTAACATTTTGTATAATAAGGGCTTGGTGCTGATGAACTCCTTGAACTTGACCTTACCTGGGAAGCATTTTATGCTTCTAAATGAAGCATTTTATGCTTCTATATCTCATTCTAAATGAGAGCTTTGCTGGAGAGAGAAATCTTGGATGTAGGTCCTATCTTTTCATGGCTTTGAATACTTCTTTCCAGCCCCTTCTTGCCTGTAAGGTTTCTTTTGAGAAATCAGCTGATAGTCTTATGGGAACTCCTTTGTAGGTAACTCTTTTTTTTTCTCTTGCTGCTTTTAAGATTATATCCACCTCCTTCTCTTTAATCTTGGGTGATGTAATTATGATGTGTCTTGCTGTGTGCTTCCTTGGGTCTAACTTCTATGGGATTCTCTGAGCTTCATGGACTTGCTGGGAGGCTATTACCTTGGTCAGATTGGGGAAGTTCTCCATTATTTTTTCAAATAAGTTTTCAATTTCTTGCTCTTCCTCTTCTCCTTCTGGCACCCCTATGATTCAAATGTTGGAACATTTAAAGTTATCTCAGAGGTTTCTAAGACTGTCCTCATTTTTTGAATTCTTGTTTTTTTCATTCTGTTCTTGTTGAATGTTCATTTCTTCCTTCTGGTCCAAACTGTTGGTTTGAGTTCCAGTTTCCATCCCATCACTGTTAAGTTCCCTGTGCATTCTTTCCTCTATTTTGAGACCGTACTCAACTATTTCTGTGAGCATCTTGATACCAGTGTTTGGACGGTGAATCTGATATATTAGCTATCACTTCATTGCGTGCTTATATTTTTTCTAGAACTTTGATCTGTTCTTCCATTTGGGCCACTTTTTTGTGTTGGCATGCCTGTTACTTAGTAAGGGATGGAGCCTTAGGTATTCACCAGGGCAGGACAACCCATGTTTCTGCATTTTGGTGCAATATGGGGATGGGGTCCAAGAAGGAACAATGTGGCTTGCTGGGCTCTTGACTGGCTTTCAGTCACTTCCTCCACTACCTACTAGGAAATTGGACCCTTCTGGTGCTGATTTCCAGGTGGGTGGGTTTGTGTATATTCTAGAGCCCTGTGGGTCTCTCGAACGAACTCTCCTGTGAGTTGGGAGCTTCCCATGCTGAAACAAAACCCACAACATTTTTCATCAGGGGTTTCGATGCCTTATTTTTCCACGCTGGAACACTAGTTTGCTTGATCTGTCTCACTCCCCCATTGTTCCTCCCGGTTTACCTGCACGAAAACGTGAGACCACCCACTCTGCCAGCTACCACCTCACCTGGTCCACAAGATGCCACCTTGCCCTCCCCAGTCCTCTAGGCACTGCCATGCCATGAGTCCTCTCTGCCCCACCTGCCCATCTCCTCCATTCCTACCAGTCTGGATGAATATTTCTTTAAGTCTTCGGTTGTTCAACTTCCATATAGTTTGATTTTCTGGCAGTTCTGCATGCTTTTTCTTTTTAAGTTTTTTTCTTGTCCTTCTTTTGGTTGTGGGAGGAGGCACAGTGCGATATACCAACAATTCCATCTTGGCTGGAAATCTCTAGAGAATATTTTTAAATTAATAGTATGCATATACCATATTAATGAGATACAAAATCAATATCATAATGATGTCAATTCTCTTCAGTTGTTCCACAAATTCATTACAATCCCAATATAAATCTCAACAAGATTTTGACTAGCTGGTTTGGATATGCAAAAGGATGAGGCATTTTGAAAAGGAAAAGAAGATAGGAAGATGCACTCTGCCAGATGTCAAAGTTCTTATGAAGTTGTTGTACTCTGACAGTCATTGTGGCACTAGGAGAGGATATTACAGGCCAATGACAGGGGAGAGGAGCACAGAGCAGACCCTGCACATGTGGCCACTGGGTAATGAAAAGGGCAGTAGAGCAGAGGGCAACAGGATGGTTAACCAAATGTGGTGTCTCAGAGAAAACGACAAGAAAAATGATAAGTTCTTCAAACTGTATATTAGATGCCAAGAAATTCAGTCTCAGATAAGACAGAAAATATTTTTAAAAATTCATCCAGATGAGAATGGTGCAAAAGTCAAACATGAGTGAGGTAGGCTGTACAACCATGGCAGGCAGGAGAGAAAGAAAGTGAAGGAACACAGACACCAAGCTACAGACAGGGCTCACTTTCAGGAAAGACTCAGCAGTCAAGGAAGACATCCAAAAACACTTAATGTCACACAAACACCTATATAAATAAAGCAACAGTGTGCAGATTTCTTGATTTAGTAACAAAATGTGGTTTAAAGTTGAGCTTGCAGAGCTATGGAAGGAAATTGAGACCACTCTCGAAAACAAACAGAATTAACTCTTTCCAATTAGAAATTATAAGAAACCAAAGAAAGAGCTGAAAGTAAAATAATTGTCTCAGAAGAAAAATTTGAGAGAACCATTATGAACACAAAATAAAAAACTAAAGAATAAAAGTTTAGGGGGCATATAAAGCTGTGAGAGCTCAATTTGCATCAATGAAAGAATAATTTTGCACAAAATTTGAAAAATAAAGTTTTACACCATATTGGAGAAGGAAGCATCTCTGAAATAGAGGTGAAATTGAATCTGCCACCTTAAAGAACACAAGGACTGTGTTTAAGTAGAGCTGCATGGAATTCACCAGTAACTTTTGGTATTGCTTTTATTTATTTATAATAACCAAGGTGTATCCATTTTATTAAATTAATACTACAAGTAGATACTCCAAATTTCAAGCTTTAATATGATAGAAGTCACCAGAAACAAAATTAAAGACAAGAAAAGTATATTTGTAAAGTTCAAACTAAGCAGCAAACTCTACCTTGTCATTAAAGGAAGGACAATCAGCCCAACTAATAACACTGGCCAAAAAATAAACCAACAGTTCAGAGAAGAGGCAATTTAAATAGACAATAGACAGCAAAACCTGTTCAACTTCCCATGTAATCAGAGAATGCAAATTAGCAGGCTATATCCCTTAACCCAGCTCCTTTGTGAAGTCTGGGTGTGGACAGATGTCTCATCAGCCAGTGCTGCGAGAATACAGCGGTTCAGCCATAGGAAAAAAAAAAAAGGCAACTTAGCAGGATCTGCAGTATAAACAAGTGAGTGTTACTACCCTCAACAATTTCACATTTCGGTTTTTGAAACTACACAAACACTGGGGTATATGCAAAAACATGAAGACATATAAAATTATATTTCAGAGCTCGTTGGTAAAGAATTATGGTGTATGGATTCCATGCAGTAGCTTGTGGCCATTAAAAACAGTGAGATGGATCCATGTGATGATTAATGTGAAAGGATTTCTAGCCTTTTCTTTGCCAAATGTGTAAACCTCTCGGGAGCAGAAAATGAAAGTACAAATGGAACACTTAACCTGCACTAGTCTTTGGTATCTTGGTCCTTTCTCTTCTTTTGACTCCCTTACCAAGATCCCTGGAGGAAGAACCAGACCCCCAGCCTGAGACCAGAGTAGGCCTGGTGCTGACCCAATGCAGGTCCGGTAGGGGACCATGGCACCCATTGAAAAGTCAGATGTTTAACCTGAATTTTATATTTTCTAAAGTACCCTCTTGAAATGACCAATGTGAAAGTAGAGGAGGCCTGAGGGAAAAGAGAGGGCACAAAGGTCATGAGAAAATAACAAATCACTGCCTCAAAACCTCAGGAAGCACAACCGTGTCAGAAATGACTCCACAGCAGAGCATTAGGTGTAAGACAAGTGTCCTGTGGACTGTGGCAGCTGCACTCACACCTGCAGCTGTCCCCCTGCTGTTTAAAGATCCGCTTCCCTCAGTGCATATTCCTGCATTCCATTACACTGCACGTGAGTGTTCCTATAAACAAGGTTAAGGTCAGGGTTTAGAGGAGTGTCTAATAAATAATAGGTACTAAAGCAGCACCATAGCCAGAGAGAAAGTTAAAGGAAGGCAGACAGAAACTGACCTGGTGCTGAGGTCACTGCCCTTGGTGGCCATCGTCCTGCCCTTGATCCTGCCAGGACCTCTGATCCCTCTGGTTTCTCCTGCCTGGTTTCAGTGAGACTGCCCAGCGCTGAGCAGGAAATGTGTAACAGACTCACCCTGAATGCACTCCACCCAAATGAGGAAAAGAGAAGTGAAACTAAGTACCCTGTGCTGCCCTAGGCTGCCTTTCCCCTTCTATAGCCCCATAGAGTATTGATAGAGGTCCTCAGCCATCAGGACAGTGGCAGGAGGAATGCAGGACAAAGAGGGACAACCAGGGTGTGGAAGGCCAAAGAGGCGGTCTGCCAGAGGGTGCAGAACCAGTCCTCTGTAGTCCCCTTGTGTGTGCAAAGACACAAAAACAACCTGTGAACCCACTGTCCCCAGCTTCCCCAACTTTCTAATAGGGTGCAGGGCTTACATGGATGGGAATGAACCATGTTGCCCCTCGTCCATGTAGAGGTGGTTGTTGGGACAGAGGAAAAGACAGAAACTTCAGATCTTCACTCAGACCCTTGGAGAGCCTGGAGCCAATTGCACTAGTCCCAGTGTTTGGACACAGGGCTGGAGAAGCACCAACCTTAGAGCAATGGTTTCCACATTTGGTCCCTGAGTCTGACTTCCTCTGGCTGGGACTAAGGGTTCTGGCCCAGTTGAATTTAAGACACAGGGAAGGTTCTACCCTCTCTTCATGAATGTTCTTTCTTTCCCCCAAAGGAGTGAATATTGATCATACTGGGACAGATTCCAGGACAATGAGGATGGTTTCTGTATTAGTGGGCAAGGTCTCAATGTGTCTCAGGTGCTGCACACACAGGGATCTGCCCCACCCTCCAGACTGGTAAGCTGAGCCTCTGGAGGACACAGCTGCCCTGTGCTCCCAACCTGCATGGGACTCATGGCCCAGACATAGTCTGACACAGAGGACTCCTGAGTTTCCAGTGTCCCTCCTCTCTCTCTCCTCTGTCCCCAGGCAGCAGGCAGACTAGGCAAGCATCACACTGGGTGTTGGCATAACTGTGCCAGCTTTTCCCTGAGTCTGCTTAGAGTCACCAAATCACCATGTGAATGACAGGCAGATAGCAGTTGGGTGCGTGGGAAAATGTCACGAGCGTCTTGTTCATGATGTAGTCTTTCCTATAAGGCAGCCAGGCAACTGTTTGATTAGCTGCCTGCTGAGCAGCCTGGCACCAAGGAATAGACAAGAGCCACACACAGTAACTATGCTATTTACCCATCTTTGATTGAATGCAGATTCACTCAAAGTAGACCATCAGCATACATTAATATCCTACTTACACGCTAACAGCCTGAGAGTAATAGAACCCACACACACGGCAATCAATAGGGGGATAACAATCCCGAGTCCAGAGTCGCAGTCTGCAGGTCTGAGAGACAGCACAGTGTTGGGAACCGCCCTGACTGGTATTAGAAGCTGAGACCCCCGCCTAGCTAAGCTAAGGGAACGCCCTTGGAACCGTGAGCCGGCAAGGAGAAAAAAAGGCTTATCTCCCTGGCAGTAATGCTGTTTCTGCTGCGGAACCCCAAAAAAAGCTTGGTCGGTTAGCCAAAGACGGGTAAGATTCCCCACGGGGGGAACAACCCAAGCCAGGCACGATCACTTTTGGGAGGCCCCCCAAAAGAAGGACTTGGGGGGCTGCAGCAAAAAGGGGGTGATGGACCCTCACTCCTCGGCTTTGACAAAGTCTGAGTTCTCAGCGTCCGGAAGAAAATCTCCTTATCTCTCGGTGGCTTTAGTTCCCGCGCTCCACCTAAGCCTGAAACAATGACGGGGAAGTGCAGCTCGGTACTGGGAAGTGCGGATTTCCCGGGGTGATCGGGCCTAAGAAAGAACATGTAAATTACTGTGAAACCTTCTTTGTCCAAGAATGCTCTTAGTTGAATGAGGAGGGTCTTAGGAGGAAGCTAGTTTGTTCCTCAGCCTTACAGCTCTTTGACCCCCAACTCAATAGACCGGCAGAGTTCTTTGTTTTATATGTTCCTTACTTCCCCTAATGAGTATTGTACGTTACCTGAGTTATTATGCAAAATGAGCCTAATAAAAGCAGGTATGGACGGTAAATCAGCGCGCTCCCCACTAGGGGGGGTGGCCATTCTGTCCCTACTTCCCCACAGAAACTGGTTTGTCTCTGTGCATGTGTGTTTTTTCTCGCGTATTGTTGAGCCATCCACAGTGTGCCGTGGTCACTGCTAGCCGGTGACCCACGCGCAACAGCACAGTGGGCAAGGGAGTTGCCATTGTCTTGCAAGAAAAAATGTCCAGAGTCAGGAGGGCAGCAGGGCAGGAGAAGTACTCAGTCCAGAACGGTAGAGCCTCCAGTGACTGTTGCCAAGGGAGATCGGCGTGGCAGGGGAGCAGCACTCTGGTGTGTGGAGCTCAGCTATCTCAGCAATGGAATGGAACCTGCCTCAGTTATACCTTGAAAATGTTGTACCCCATCCCTTCTGAGTCTTTTTCGGTAAATGTCTTGGCACTCCTAATGCCAAGTGTGGAATTTCCCCAGGAGCCTAGCTGTGGGTGGTCTCACTGCGCTGACATAGCTCTTTGAACATGTGTGTAGATATTGTAGGTATGTCTCCTTGCTACACATTTCTCTCACCACATGGGCAGACCTGTCTCCTTGCCAGATGCGTTTACTCTGACTTAGGGAATTTTCCTCTGGAACCAAAGTGTCATGACTGACTGACAGCCATTTTAGTTAACATAAGTGACTCCACTTGGTTTAATATATTTTATGTTATCTTAATAGTACCAATGCCATTTTATTGTTGTTGCTCTCCACAGAAATCCACAGCTGCCCACCTCCTGGGAAGACACTCCCATACTGGGGCTGCCCTGGCTCAAAGAAAGGGGTCTCTTTCCTGGGACCACAGAAAGCTGGGCACACATGCTACTCAGTGAACAGCAGTGGTTTCTATGGGATCAGGAGTCCCCCTGTGGAGATGCAAACATTTTTGATCCAGGAAACAAGGTCAGAGCCACCCAGGTTGGGAATCAGAGAAGACCATCTTCAGGAGCAAGTGGACTCCCTAATAGTCCTGCTTGGCTGACTTGAAGGAGAGAAGAGCATTTTCTCTCCATTTTCCACGGTGGCAAAGAGCAAGGACAACAGGGATGATTCCTGTTTTCAAGGACATTGAGCTACGTGGCCTAGAAACCTGGAAAGCAGGAGAAACAGCAAAGAAGGGTCACGGGGCAGAAGACATAGTGAGGGAAATGGGCTTCTCTTGTTCACCAGGGGCAGCTTCCAAACACACATAAAAAATGGGCTGAGTCTCCAGCCTGGGAGACCCTCAGGGGACAGAAGCTTATCCCTGAGATGTGGCAGGGAATCCAGACCTGAGAATTCACAGGCAGGAGGAAGAAAGCAGCAGCAACAGCAGCCACTGTGCTGAGGATGGAGCCCTGCAGCACCTCTGTGGATGTAGGAATGGACACGGTGGCACCTTGACCTCAGAAGGAACACTCAGGCCTTGCACCAGTGTCCCCTTCTCAGAGGTGGCCTATCAACCAGCAGGACTGCTGGGCCCCCCCTGCCCTCCCATCTTTCTGGGGAGACGCTCAGACTGGGAGTTCTGTGAAAGGTGAGTGTGGTCCTTGGTGGGTCTCTCTGGGCTCATCCTGCTGGAGAGGCCTGGGCTTTGTGTTCCTCCAAGCTCAAGTGCACAGGGACAGTGGTCTGTAGGGTGTGTGAGGGGTAAAGAGTGGTAGATTACAGCAGCTGGGCTTGTGAATAAATCAACTCCTAGGGTTCAGGTTTAGGGGTTATTTTTGGCACACATCTAAGGCACATCCCTTGATCCAGCTTTTATCAGGAAGAATGCTGGTATTTTTACTTCCATCTGTATCACCTCTGCCTGTCAGTTGTTTTAGAACACATGTCAGGATACTTGGGGGCAAGTTTATGCACAGAATTTTGTTTTTCTCTGTGACTTTCTTTCTTCTGGGTTTTCCACCTTCATCCCCTGAGAGCATAGTTGCCACGGGTTCTTCCTGGCTCTGCTGACCACACAGACTGTGGCTGCTCACAGAGTCAGGCGTCAGTAAACAGGAAGCAACTCATGTTGCCTGCTTCCTTGGTGCTCTTTACCTCCAGACTCACCCAACTTTTGTTCACTTTGCAGAAGTCTCAGACAGTTGTTCTCTGACCATTGTCCACAATTTCTAGATGTTTTCTGAAAGCATTAGGTTGGGTAGTAACTCACTTCTATGGATCAGAAACAAAACTCTCCATTCCTGCTTGCAAATAGTGGAATAGCACTGCCCAGTCCAAGGCCCAGCCTTGTTCTGGCTTCTGGAGACCCAGTGGGTCCAGTGCCCCTGAACTCCCTGCCCACCAAGGAAGAGATGCTGCTGTGCAGAGCATCAGAGGCACATATTTGTTAGAAGACACACAGCCAGGCTAGATACACTTTGTACTTCTGTGCACCCAGGAGCAAAAAAACACGCCTATGTAGAGTGGTGGCCTCATTTCATAAGCAAAATAACAGAACAAATAATATGCTTGGAGGAAAAATATGGCTTATTCTAGAAGGTGGAGTGGATACTTACAAACAACTATACAGAAGAGGCATATAAGTTGTTGCTGAAAAGCTTAAGAATTTTTTTTCCACCTTAAAGAAGGAGGTTGAGTTATGGTTGTTGAATTCGGCTTTTGCTTCAAGGACTTATTTATACAGACATCTTTCCAAGGGATTTGGGTCACAGCCTTCCCTGTAGCTCTTCCTGCTCTCGATCCCCTGTGTGTGTAACAATGGAAGAAAGAGCACCCAACTGTGTATAGGGGAGAGTTCAAGTCATCCTTTTCTTTAAAATTTTGAGAAAAAAAGAACAAAGTAGGAGGGATCACAATACCTGGTATCAAACTGTATTACAAGGCCACTGTAATCAAAACAGATTGGTACTGGCATAAGAACAGACACATAGACCAATGAAACAGAATACACAGCCCAGAAATAAACCCAAGTCTCTATGATCAACTAATGTTTGACAAAGGGGGCAGAAGCATAAATGGAGTAAAAATAGCTTCTCCAACAAATGGAGTTGGGAGATCTGGACAGCTACATGCAACAAAATGAAAACTCAATCACCAACTT